CGCCTGGACTTTGTCTGTACCGGAGGAGGATGCAGGGGGTGGAGGTGGCCGAACCCCACTGTGCCCATCCTGCCCCCCCGCCGGGGATGGATGAAGATGCTCCAGTCCCCTGACCCTGCAGCTTGTCGCTGCCTTGGCGCTATACAGGGGCTGCTCCAGCAGATGAATTAACAGCCTGGGGATCCCGAATCCCAAGTGAAAGCCAGGCATTTGTAACATTTACTCCCAAATATAATTAATATTTGGCCTTGTGAGCCCCTGTTTATTCTTTCTCCATTTTCCTCTTTCAGGACAGCCTGGACTGCCACCACCCGGGTTCATCTGTGGCTTCTTTTCCTCCTCCTCATGATAAAACATTCCCCCAAATTTTTATCTGCTGAGGATATGCAAGGAAAAAAAAACTCCCCACAAAACTCCCCAAAGCCTCTGCTGCTTTGCCAGTGCCCAGGTGAAAAATCAGGTCAGTAAGGCAAGGAAAGAAGCACACAAGCAGCCATTTCAGGAATTAACGGCTGAATTTTGGGGGCCCTACTGCCCACTCCAAGCACAAGTGAAATGTGAACTAAAAACTCCACACCCCCCCTCACCGTGGTATTGCAGCTCCCCGCATTTCCTGGGTACATCTGCAGCGAGAGATGTTGAATTTCTTTTTAAATCATAAAGTAACTGGTGCAGATCTGCAGCTGGAAACAGCTCAGAAGCATTAACCCAACGCACTCATCTTGGGAGATTTCACCCCGAAATGGAGGTGGTGAATCGCGATCATATGATCCAGAACCATTACATCTGGTTCTTTGCTAATACAAATTCCTTCCCAAATCCTTCGGGTCATGAGGAACAGCCTGGAATAAATAAAAATCTTGGGAACATCAAGAGCGCACTCCTCGATCCTGTTCAAACCCAGAGAGGTTTGGGGCAGGTTTATGGAGACAAACCCCAGCAGGTCCCCAGGGCTGGGCAGCGTGTGCCACCACTGCCCTCTGCTGCAGCTTGGCCCCGGGAGGGACATCCTCTCGGGCAGATATTGTGAAAAAAAAGATGGTTTGTTAATTAAAACCCCCACGACCTCCTCTCAGCCCCCCACACCTCGTGGCTTTGATCATCTCTCTCCCCCACCCCACCAAACCACTCCCCGTGCAGACCCGGCTGAGGGTGTTAAGATTTTTCTAACAGCCTGTTGGACTGGCACATCCAGTTTCTAGTCTTGAAAACTTTAGGTCTTAATGTGCATTTTTAAGGAAATATTTATCAAACCCCAGTTTAAAGATCAGTAAACACCCAGCACATCTACCGTGCACTGGAGGAGGGGTTGTGTTGGGTGTTGGTTGGTTTTTTTTTTTCTTTTACATAATCACTCACAGACAAAGCAACAATCAAAAGGCTACAAAATCCTTGTTTTGCAACAATGGGAGGAGTTTAATCCAGAAAATAAAAATTGTGGTTATGTGTTCACATCAGACTGTTGCCACATACTTTTTTTTTTTCCTTTGAGTAATACACTGCAATTTTAGCAGCAAGTGCATTTGTAATATCCTTAGTGAAAAATCAAGAAATTAATCCCATCTGAACCACCTCCAGTTCATCCTGAGACGATTTCAACACTTGCGTTTTAAGCTGGCAATTACTCATGGCCATTTCTTTAAAATAATTAGGAACATTTGTAACCTGTTCTCATCAAGTGAGATGTGGAGCTCAGCATGCAGACTCAGTGAATTGCATTTTTGCAGCAGGAGCTCCTCTCTTATCATCTTTTCCGATCACTTTTATAAGATGTCTGTACAGGTCTTTAAGAACAGGAAAGGTTTAGGTTGGATGCCAGAACCCGAGTTGTGATACAAATTAATTTTCTGTTCTTTTACCCCAGGGGATAACACATAGGTAAAGCCACAGAGGAAAGCAGCACCAACATCTCAACACCAAAAAACTCCTGAGAACAAAAAATATCAAATAGGATGTTCTTAGGAGCAAGCCTGTATTGGGTACGATGTGATTAAACCCCAATTTAAACACTGAAACATACATGGACACAGTATTTCCTTTCCAAAAGATACCAGAAGAGTTCAGATAGCAAAAAACTGAACTTCATCTCCGTGCACATTCCCAAATCCTGGGAAAACCGCACAGGGCTGCTTGCAAACAGCACCCATGCCCCAAAATAAAAAGTAGAAATATTTGATAACACCTGTATTTGTAATACACCTGTACTACAATCCCATCCACAGCTGGGTGTCTTTAAATAATAAAAGCTTTTTGGAAGAGAATCCTTCACTTTAAGTGCAAGAGCAGACCAAGAACACGGGGTCCCATTTGTTTCCACTAAACGTACCTGATGTCCTACGCACAAACACAAACGTGAAATTTTTGAGTAATGGGTCAAAACTCACCAGCCGACCATCTCATCCATTCAAACCCAAAGTTAATTACAAGGAACCTGATGAATCACTCATCACCTGCAATTTTATCTGGAATATTCTGGTAAACCAACATTATCAGAAATGTAATTTTTCCACAGTCCACTGGAGGTTAATATTCAACACAACCACAATTAAAAAAAAAAACCAAACCCCAAACCACCAGGATTTCTGCAGGATGGAAATCCGCTGCAGCCGGGGTGCAGAAACAGGACGTGAATAACAACCAGAGCAAGAGTTTCAAAATCTGGTTTCTTTCCTACTTGGAACAACCCCCCCTCAGATTTCAAATTCAAAGCAAAACCAACGTCTCACCAGTGCTGGCTGTGGGGTAATTCCCGTCAGGGGTGGCCTCGCGTTGGGAAGCAGCAGCCCCCTGGCATCCCGCCTCGGCAGCCCCAGCCCCGGGGCACCGTGCCCAGCCAGCAGCCAGGAGCTGAGGTTTTCCCTGGGACTCACCAAAATCCAAACAAGCTTTGGATGGAAAATTGTTTCGGAGTTGGTGGGACGCCACCAAAATCAAGAACAGTTGTCTCAAGTCATCAGTTTCAGATCAGAAAATACGAATTAAATTTGCTGATCAATGAAAAAATAACTTTACAGTTGGATATCCAACACACCAGAAAACTTTCTCAACATCAGGACTGTGGTAGTGCTATAAAATTAACACTGCCTAATAATTCAGGAAAGGGATCATCCATCTGACGATCGCCCAGGACCACCCCAACCAGCCTCACCCAAGCCCTGGGGCTGGACGCTCCTACTCACTGCGGGAGCCCCGGGCAGCCCATGGGATCAGCATCGCCCGGGTGATCCACACTTGGGAAAGCTCCAGTTCTCCACCATCCGATGCGAAGGTAGAGAAGTCAAGGGGGCAGATCATCAGGGCTTCCTTCAGCAGGTCCTACTGCTTGTCCAACACCCAGGGCTGTCGCAGGAATTTTGTTCCCACACATCCACAACTGCCCCTACGCACTGGAACTGTGCAAACGGCAGCTGTGGTTTAACATCTCCAGCTCCCTGCAGGACGCAGCCATGGATGACCTTCCCCCTCTTCCATCAAGTGCCTGATTGCTGTTCGACTCACAGGACACCCCGGAGGGAAGCCCTAAGGCACTGACATAGCTGCTTCCTTCTCCTGAAGAAGCGAACACTGCTGTTCACCTGCACCCATCTCCAGGACAGACAGGCCAGTCAAGGCGAAATGAAACCAGCAGCTGAAAGAAATGCTGAAGGAATTTATTGGAACGCAGTACCTGTAAAATTAATGCAGCTCATTTTATTTCCACAGCTTTGGGGAAGATAACTTTTTTTTTTTTTCCTAAATGTCACCTTAAAAAAGTGACCCGTCTTTGGTCAGAGTACAGGCAGTTTAACCTTTTATTGCCAATTCGGGTTAAAGCCAGCCCTGATTCACTGGCAACAACTGCAGCATTCTCCAACGACGCAATAAGTACCCAACACCACCACCATCACATTAAGGATCACACAACGTATAGATTTTATCATCTTCTGCAGCAGGGAAGGCAACAGGAAGCTGGGAAATATTTTTACCAACTTTTCAGTGAAAAGGTCAACTGGCTCAAGAAGGGAATATTTTAGTCAAAGGCAAACAAAACAACATCTACCCCAAAAACAACCGTGCAGGGTTTTCCACAAAGGATACAGAAGGGATTCAATTCCCTCTTCTGGCCGAGGGACATTCAGCAGGTTTGGACTGACTGATCTCCTCTCCCTTTCCCTCTCCCCTCTAAGTTCAGTTCCATCTCAGTGCTGAATGGGAACATTTTGGAAGTTTCAAGAAGTTGTAAAAGACAAAATCACCTGCCCTTCATCTGGGGAAGGCTATCTGCAGCTTGGGAAAGTGCTACATAGCAGGGTTTTGAGTTTCCAAGGGTAGAATTTGCGCTTGAGGAAAAACAAAACCCACACACACACACACACCTTAAACCAACTTTGTGACTTTTATTGATGGGCGACAACTTTATACTTCTAGATATCACTAAACTGTGTACAATTAGGAACTCAACATTATAGGAGAGCAGACAGCAAAATTAAACAAAGCAGACTTAAAGAAATATCAATCTTAATTATCTTGCCCATTCTTTTTAATTTCATGTACACAGAAGCATAAATGCAGTTTGAAATTTCTTAATAGCAATAAAGTTACAATCACCCATCTATATAGACTAACATCTTAACTCCAAATATTTGATCTGCAATGTGTACTTAAGCAGTTTCTCATCGCACAATTATTAAAATGTGTCTTCCTATTAGGAACCAGCAACTCTGCGTTTTGTACGTTTGTACATTTTTTGAAGCACATAGGACCATCTCCATCTCATACACATCGGCTCATATTTTACCACTTATCAAAAACTATTGGGGAAGCAGAGAGCACTTTTTATTTTTTTTAATTTTTTTTTTATTTTTTTTACTTAAGTAAAGATAAAACATTTTCACAGAAATCTACAAGTTCTGTTGCTGGTGCAGGGTTTTCTTCTACTGCGTAATTAGAAAGTGGGAATCAAATGCCAATTCCCTTTTATTATCTTAGGATTCAGCATTAACTCAGATTAATTTTTTTTTTTTTTGTGATTCATGAGGCTGAGTCTTTCAAACAAGTGACTTCATTCTGCAAAGTCAAAAGTCAACACAAACTATGTTGTGCACAAACCCAAGGTAGTTTCCTTTATCACTCTATCCAATAGTTGCAAGGGAAAGAAAAAAAAAAGAAAAAAAAAAGAAAGAAGATTCACTCAAAAGAGCATTTACAGGAGAAAAAAAGTTAGTGATAGTTGGCGTTCTACAAAGCAGGTATCTTGCACACACAGCGTAAAAGGGAAAAGTTTCACAGCAGGTCAACTCGGCGGTAGTACAGGAGGTAGGCTGTGCGTTCTGCAGACGGCTTCACCACCTGGTACTGATTGATCACCTTGACTGCCTGGTCATCGATGCGTAACCAGCCGTTGAGACCAATTTGGAAGACGTCCGTAGTGTAATGGCCACCAGTTGCGCTGTTTCCATGATGATAGACAACTGCAAAGAGAAATAGATGATGCACATATAGGTTATACATAGATAAATATCCACTGGAGAAGTAAATAAAGAAAAGTCTGTCACATACTGCCTTCTTCATAGCACGACAGCATGATCTGGATTAAGCAAGAATCTTCACGTGTTTAATGCTTGCTCACATTTCATGCTAGGCAGTATTAGTAAAGTTTCACCAGCGTACCAAATCTCCTGATTCTAAAAGGAGGTTTAAGTAAATTAAGAATCAAAAGCATCAAATTGCATTTTAAAACTTTCCTAGAGGATTTTCTGGCAAGAATTTGCCTCACAGACTAGCTGCAACAGCACAGCACACCCTTCAGAGCTTTCAATGGAAGAAAAAACTGAAAGAATTGCTGTATTTGACCCAAGAGCAGAAATATATAATTACA